CGGCATTTTCCAAGTTACCGGGCACAAAATGTTTGGCCATCTAAGTCGCCCGATTTGAACCAATTGATTTGGCGGTGTGGGGCTTCTTGAAGCAGAAGATGCCTTCTGAGCAACGTCGAAGTTTGGACTCCCTGAAGGCTTCCTTGGAGGAGGCGTGGAAGGAGCTTGACGTCAGCTACTTGCGGCCCACAGTGATGTCAGTTGAGAAGAGACTTCAAGCCTGTATCGCTACCAAAGGAGGCCATCTCGAGCACTTTCTTTAGCAATGTACTGCCATGTTTAAGGTATATAAAGATAAACCTCTGAAGATGTAATAGCTTCTCTTTTAAAATATGGTCAACAAACCATGCGCCAATATTTAGTAGCCACCCTGTATTGGTCCTGGCAGGATGCGTGCCTTGCCTCTTGAGACTAGTAAATCCTCTGTAGAAAATACATCAGCATACTGTTCCTGAACGAATCAGAAAGGAGGCGAAGAATGAATAGGTCTGAATTCAATTTTACCTGTTCCCCACCCTTTGAATTCCTAAAGCCCATCATTATGAAGTTGTTGTTTGTGCAGCAATCCATATCAGTCACTATCAGAGAGTGGGTAGACCGCAAAGAATTCGCACACGGCTACGGTTCATTGTTTTCACTAACTCATCGCGTGGTGGTAGAATGTTGGACACGTTTCCAGCTGAAGATGTTCGAAAATGGATGGCTAACCATACTACACATGTCTGGCTCATTGCTGCCTGCTATCTTGGCTTCGTACTCACAGCACCCGGTAAAATCGTCAAGAAGCACGGATTATTACCTCAATGGTACAAATTCCACCGAATACCTAACTACACCACGGCTTTAAAAATCTCGTGCTTTTCAGGTACTATTATAATGGATTGCTTCAATTGTGTCTCCTAGTGGCATTTCTCCCAACACTTTTGTTCTCCTTACTTATAGGCGGTTGGAGAGATTCCGTCTGTAGAAATCACTCCCTTTACACTGGTATGTTGTCTGGTTAATACTGTACAGGTGATTCGTTAGGTGATCTGGCGCTCATGTCGTTGAGGGGGGGGGGCATTCAAGTGAGCGAACCAATTACAGTGCTTGGGACTAGCCTTGAAGTTACAAGCCAGACAGAAGTCGTGTGAGCGAATCCCTTGGGTCTGTAGGATCGACCGCGAATATAGGAATCACAGTCGTGACATGTATGTGCACAGAATTCCGCCGACAAGAGCGCTGGGGTCATATAAAGTGATCTGCAGCAGCAATTGTTCTTTTTTATCAAACTGTATTTCGTCGCCCCCTCACCTCCGACAAAGTCTTTTCTTCACTGTCGGTTTATTTTACTATGCCAATATCCTTTGCATCGTCGCCAAGAAAACGCAACATCAAGTTTTGACTGGGGCATGCTTTTTGGAGGGGCAAGGGGTGGGAAGAGATCCCGGAAGTATATGTGAACAATTCCTTACACCTTAGGCTCTCCTGGGCTTAATCCTAGTGCCACTTCATCATGGTTTTCAAATGCTATCTTTCGAATGACCCCCCTAGGGCCATGAGCGTCCGGTTAGTTCAACAAAACCCAATTGAAAGGAGAAAGGTGACAGCATAATTTCTGGATCATCGACGACGACCACAGCAAAGTCCACTTGTTCCGTTGCTATTGAAATCAAAACAAACAGCAAACATTCTCAATAGTGCCATCTCTAAGCGTATAGGCGTACATCCCCGGATGATATTCACCGCAGAGCTAATCCGTATGTCGAAAGACATGATGGTGTTCTGGTGCAACTGCTACATCAAATGGCCTACGTGGCATCAACCTCGCCCAGCTATGGTTCCAATTACACCTGTTCTTGACCCGGCCAGCCATTTCATTTAAACTGCCTTCGAAAGCTGAGATTGCACTTGTTATCCTAGTTGGAACCAGGGTCAACCGTCCGTTGGACAAAGTCCAACGCGACGACGAGAGTAATGCCGAGAGTGAACGTACGCACGGAGACACAGACGGCTCGCGGGTGGCGAGAGTGAATGCCGGCGCGGAGAGCGGTCAACATCGGTCCAACGTCGCTCCAATATCGGTCCAACGTAACGGTTGACCCTGGTTGGAACATTTCTTCAAAGGCTGTTCTTAGGAAGGCAGACGACGGCTTTCAGTGGGTGCTCTCCCTATGCTCTTCGTTACTGTGCTCGGACTGGAGGCGACCGCTTCCAATTTCTTAATATCAAGTAGTTCGGGTTGCTATCTTTTTTCGGTGCTCGTGTCTTCAGAGGGAACACTTAAAACAGGGCTGATGGTAGATGGTACTGTGACTGAGCCCGAGAAAGGGCGCAAACGGTAGGAAGACACAAATTGCTACTCCTCCAGTACCTTGCTCTCGCTACGGCTTAGTCCAAAACACAGCAAATGGCTCATTCACTTTAATGCCCCCCCCCCCACCCCACGAACACGAGCGCCCTTTTTGGTATAGCAGTGCTTTGTCAAGCGGTCAATACTTGTGCCACACCCTGTAAAAGCACAGTGAAGCATATCACACACGCAGAGATCAGTGCAGATACTATTATACTACGTGTTCTTCCTATAAGAAGCCCTTCAACAGTTACTCTCCGGTCTTAAAGCAACAACCCCAGATCAAAAGGTGGGGTCACCGCGGTCGATAATGAAGTTCTGGATGCCGAGTTGATCAAAAAAAGAAAACCCAAACCGTCGATGAAGCTCTTAAACATGGGCACCCTCTTCCATCTTGGAATGAGGGAGGGACGTGTGCGGACGATTCGCCCGAACTTGCTTGCTTCATGGCACTGCCAACGCGAGTATTTGAAAAAGCCGCTCCATCATAATTCGCGTTACATGTGATATCGGGTATTCTGTCATTTAAAAGGAATCTTCCACGGACCATGGACCAGTGGGCGGGACCGGAAGTTTTTGTGACGAAATGCATGGTAGGTACGGATCCACGTGTCGAACGCACGAACGTGAACAGGATTCACTTCAAACCTTCCCATGAACGTGGATCCGTACCTACCATGCATTTCGTCGCAAAACCACTTCCGGTCCCGCCCACTGGTCCATGGTCCGTGGAAGATTCCTTTAATTAACTCACATGAGGTTCACCAGTCCAGCGCAGAGTCAACCCTGCGTTGCGCAGTTCGCAACGGCACGTTGAGAGATCCTCAACGCACGCTGTATGGGCGGAGACGCAGACGGCTCGAGCATGCGAGTGTGAATGTTCGCGCGAGAGAACGTGTCTAATCGGGCGAAACTGCGCAACGTGGCCGTTGAGAACTGCGCAACGCAGGGTTGACTCTGCCAGCGGCAGGCCTTGCCGACACACCTCATCGGGTTTGTTTTTAATGTACCATGTTTTTGAGTCTAACTCTAATTAATAACAGGAGTTGTTAGTGGCACGGTGATGTTTCTATTCGTGTTCACAAAACTGCTCGACTTGGCCGAAACAGTGCTAATTGTTCTCGAAGGACGTCACCCGCTGCTGATTCATATTTTTCATCATGTCGTCACCTTACTTTTCACATGGAATAGCTATTCTCACCACAGCTCCCTTGGCAGGTAAGGCTTGCTGTCAGTGTGAAGTTAAATTTCCTCCACAATAATGAAACAGAAGGTAAAGAAACTCTCCTAAACCATTTGTTTAGGAGCTTATATTTCTATGTTTCTGAGCTTATACAATGTTACATAGGTATCAAAGGCACAACTCGGACCATGAAGTGAAGCCTGAGCAATGCAGAGAGCGTTCCTCGAGTGTAGAGGATGTACCGCCTTTGCCGCACCAAACTTGCAGGCAGAGGCGCTATCAAGGGGGTCTTTCAGAGCAAGCCTTTTGAACGGTTTCTTGCATATTGTAGGGACGCATGTATGGACCACAAAACCATGTTTCGTTTTCGCTGAACGGTTTTAGTAGTACCAAAAAAGTGGTGAATAATACCCTTGATGGTTCAATCCCCCGCGGCGACTAAATTTTGCAATCAAGGTTGGCGGCCACTTGTTGGCTTCAAAATGGTCCTGACGATGAATTTGACATCTGATTTTGATATTTAGCGCGATTTGGCACCAAACCGTAGGCGCCAACCCAAATGCAAAATTTAGTCGCCACGGGGGATCGAACCATTAACAGTACCTTATGCTTCTTTTTTGGTACTGCTATAACCGTTCAGCGAAAATGAAACATGGTTTTGTGTTCCCTACATGCGTCCCTACAATATGCAAAAAACCGTTTTGAAAAAGCGTGGCCTTGCCCTGAAAGACCCCCTTAAGGCACAAGTATTTGGACGGAGCTTCGCCCAGCACCTGGAGCCCTGCCTGGGAACTGTGATATGTTCATAACGATAAAAAAATTCTACAGAGATCGGGAAAAGAGAAGTCTAGAGTCTGCCACTCCCAGGTGTCAAATGGAGACGTAAATCAGTGAAATAGTACTATCAGCGGCACCTTCTGGGCACGCCCTGAGAAAAAAAAGAAACGTGCAATTTTCAGCAAAACGAACATGTGACCTCACTCATATGAAACAAGACAGCCACACGAAACTAAGGGGATGTAGAGGGCGTCATAGTGAGAAGCCAAAGTCAGAGAAATCCCTCTATTCTTGCAGGAGATCGTTCGAGACAAGATTTGAGCTCATCATCGCAGGACGCGTGCATCGGGCTACAACTCATTACCAATTGACCATTCCTTGTTAGAATCTGCCCCACCTAAGTAGAAATATCCAGCCTTTTTAAGAATTCGCTGCCGCTATAATGATTGAGAGTTCTTCTGTGCCTCTCGCCTGTCTCTTTGCTCTCTCACAGACTCACCATAAACCCCTCCGCACGTTTTCCTCGTGAGCTCGAAGTGATCAAATCTGCTACATCAGGAAGGGCCTTGCTCAAGACGTTTTCCCAGCTCTTTACTTTTGCACCAACAAGAGCTACACAAGGGCCTAATAACGCCTTCAGAACGTGCCCTAGACTGCATCTCCACGTAGGATCTCTGCAAGCCTCATTTAGAGACTCGAGCCGCAATCGGAACTCTAAGGAATTCTCTCCTTGAGCTATGCACTAGAACCCCCTACCCACTGAGGTGGCGATTTGAAAGTTTCCTGAAAAGGGAGCTAATGCTGTCGCTCGACTGCTGCGACCTATGCCATTCTTAGCAATCGTAGCATACATAGCGTACTCCCTCTCGCGCACGACGTGCTCCCTCGCGTTCTCTCTTTCCTCGCACCGGTGTACCTCTTGGGTTTCGCAG